TGGTGTGGATGAGGGGGACTACGGGCGCTTCCAGGAGGAGGTGAGGAGATGCTCGTGGGGAGCTGGCTCCTGTTGTGGCAGGCAGGATGTGGCCCAGCCATGCTGGGGCTGGCTTCCAGGGTTGGATTTTGGACAGCCATCAACTCCATCTTCCCCCAGATGAAAAACCCCGTGGTGCAGACCAGCCTCCCTGGCTTGGCGAGGAGCCTTGAGGGGCTGCAGAAAATGCAGGTGAGCAGCGGGGCGGGCGGCGGGGGATGCCTGCGTGCCCACGGAGTTGTCCTCACCCTGCTGTCCCCCCCGCAGAGGAACGGCACGGTGGCGGGGCGGCTGGCCGCCGAGGCCCAGGCCCTGTGGCAGATGCAAAACTCCACGGTGCAACTGCAGGAGGCTTTGGTGGTGAGTCCGTGCCGGGCTGGTGGCTCATGGTGCTGCTGGCGTTTGCCCAGTGGTGTCCCCATGAAACGGGGAACGGGGCTTTTGCACCCTCCTCACCTCTCTGTCCTGCAGGCAAAGCTGGGGGAAAGTGTCCAGTTCCTCTCCCGCTTGGCACCGCACCTCCAGGTACTTGCGCGGTTTCTTTCAGCTCCGAAAGAAAGATGGTGATGCCCTATGGGTCCCACCTGCCAAGGCCCCAGAAAAACCAGTTACAGGGTGATGGGAGAGCCAGGAAAGATGCCATCTGAGGAGGATCGGTCTCCTCTAGTGATTAGATTTGCTGCTGCAAATCAGAAATCCCCCTGCAGCACTCAGGGCATTTCAGCATCCCCGGCAGAGCTGTCCCACGGCATTTCATCTTGCCTGCTCCCTGCCAGGGGGTTTCTCTGCTTGGGGAAGGTCCCTTTTTTCCCTGCCCTCTGGCAACCAGACCCAATTTGAAGCTCTGCAGGTGCACAGCACTGCACGCCCTGCTCCCAGCACCCCCAGGGCACCCATCCTGCTGCTCAATGCTCTAAGGATCCTCTGCCCTTCCCATGCTTCCCCAGGAGCGGGTGAAGAAGACTCTGGCCACCACAGCCTCGGTGGAAGCCCGGCTGCCTGTGCAAGCTCAGCAGATCCTCCGGCAGGTAAGCCGGGGCTGGATTAGCCCTCAGGGAGTACAAAATTCCCCACAGCCAGAAAGAAAGAACAGGGTGCTGCAAGAGGGAAAGGGTCACCTGAAGGCTCCAACCCTCGTTTCCAAGCCCGACATTAGCCCAGAACAGGTTGGAGCTGGGCTGGGAAGCACGGTGCTTACCCTCCATGCTGCCTTCCCTTTGCCAGGAGATCGGCTGCTTCACGAGGAAAGAGCTGCGGTACTTCGCACAGTACCTGAACTGGGTCGGGCAGACGGTAAGTGCTTGCCTTCACCAAAGGGGGATTCTTTAAGGCTGGGAGTCCCCATGGGTGTTGCGTGCAAGCCCCTCACCAAGCTGAGAAAGCAAAATGCATCCCCGCAAGCCAGGAGTGTGTTTATGCCTTGGCTCTGCTTCTTATTCCAGCTGAGGGAGGACGTAGCTTCGTGCCAGCCACTCGCCACAGCCCTGGACAATGGGCGAGTGATCCTGTGCGACCGCATCGCTGACCCTTGGGTAAGGATCCCGTCCCCATCCCTCCACAGGAGTCCAGCGGGGACCTGTGCGGTGCAGCATCCCACCACCAACCAGCATGAATTTGAGGCAGCTGGGGCAGACAGCAGCCCTGACTCCCGCACACCACCAGGACCAGCCACCGCAAGGCTCCCCAAACCCCTCCAGAGCCTGGGGGCTGCCTTTCCCCGCACAGCTCAGCAGTGACCTCTGTGCTCTCTCCTTGCAGAACGCTTTCTGGTTCAGCCTGGGATGCTGCACCTTCTTTCTCATCCCCAACATCATCTTCGCCATCAGGCTCACCAAGCACTTCCGCCCCATCCGCAACCGGCTCATGTAAGCAGCGGGCACAGGGTGGGTGGGCAGGCAGGCTGCCTGGGGTGGGAGGACACAGGGAGGGGAGATGTGGGCTCCTCCTCTACTCCCCTGATGTTTTCTCCTTCTCCTTCTGCAGCTCTACAGGGTCAGAGGAGACCTGTCCCTTCCACATCCCCCGCGTCACGGCACTCAAGCTCTAGGATGGGGCTCTGCCAGGTGTGGCAGCATGCCCTGCGCCCCAGGAGCTCCCGTCAAACTCGTGCCCAAGGGCTGCAGGGCTTCAGGTCCCTCTGACATCTCTTCCTTGATGTCCTTCGGGGTCTGAGCATCCTTCCCAGGCGTGGGGCACGTGTCTCCACACTCTGTGGGGCTCCAGGTCCCTCCGATGTCTCTTCCTTGGCCACCTTTGGGGTCTGAGCACCCTTCAGGGATACTCCCAGAGCCCGGCTGATCCAGGGCACAGGGCAAGGATCCCCACAGCTCTCGCTAAGCGCCGGCGTACCCCTTGCAGACCCCACAGGGAGGAACGCCTGCCCGCTGCCCCACGATGCTTCCCCAAACCCGAGATCCCTG